AAAAAAAAAAAAAAAAAGAAAAAGGAAGGTTGTTTAGTATGTTCCTTTTGTACCTAACTCCTTAGCAAAATCTGTCTGCTTCATTTTTCAGAGTAAATATAACTATTTCACCTCCTGCTTTTTTCTTTAATGTCTTACTTTCCTCCTTGCCTTAGTTTCATGAGCTAGGGCCTCCAAAATAATAGTGGTAACACAGGGCATTCTTTTGTTCCAAAGGTTGATGGAAGCTTCTATTGCTTCCATCGCTTACAAATGATGCTGGGCTTTGGCATCATGGGTGTGTGTCTGGGTGTAATTTCCTTTATTGTGTGTAATTTAAGGAAGTATCCCTCTTTCTAATTTGGTAAGTTTCTTTCATAAATTTTGTAGTAAATTTTGTCAAATGCCTTTTCAACATCTATGAATATTATGATTTTCAACATATTAATATAAATAAAATGAAAAGTTCTAATTTTGAGCCATCCTTTTCACACTGTACAAGTCTCTCTTGATTTAGGTAAGTTTCTTTTGAAGCCCCAGTGGGGTTTATTTGCTAATATTTTATTTTGGATTTTTATACATTGATTTTTATGTAAATGTCTTATCTTGTTTTGTTTTAGAGATAGGACCTCACTCTGATACCCAGGCTGGAGTGCAGTGTTGTGATCACGCTTTATTGTAATTTTAAACTCCTGGGCTCAAGTGATCCTTCTGCCTCAGCCTCCTGGGTAGCTGACACTATAGGCACATGCCACCATGCCTGGCTAATTTTTAAATTTTCTGTAGAGATGGAGCCTTGATATGTTGTCTAGGCTGCAGTTCAGTGTGCATTGTCAATGTGAATATTTACTGGTCTTTCTGCTGGAATCATTCCCTCTGGCATCTGTTTGTCTTTAAATTCTGGGCATGCACACACAATCCACCTGCACATCCTAACTGTAAAATATTGATGTTGTCCAACCTGCCTTGAGAAGGGAGAACTATTTTCCCTCTTTGTATCTCTGCTGGTGTCCAGTCCACTGCTGTGTTTTTGGTAAATACTTGACCTACAGAGTGTGGGAGGCAGGAAGGAAAGGCTTCTGCATTTCCTCTGTGGACCCGACATCATAGATCCATTAAACATATTGGGAAACCAGCAGGTCAGGTGGCTGCACACTCTAGTTGCCTCTGACTCTGAATTGCTCAGGCCCCCTGCGTGCCAGTGATTTGCTTTTCTTTGTGAGTTGTCTCTTCACTCATATTCCTAGGCTGAGTTCCCCAAAACAGTGGCTAGGACAGCACCTGTAACAGTTGTGGGTGCGTATCTGATCTTGCATGACCTGATTTACAGGGTGTTTTGAACAGGAGCTACCTATTTTGGCTTGGGAAATGGCTAAAGTTTACTTGACTTTCTTTCATAAAGTGACTGGTAGAATATGTGGCATAAGGCTATTGTTGCAAAAACAGAAGTGGTGCGGGGTGATCGAGCTTGGGCAGCATTGGGAGGCAGCCAGGCCCGCATCAGCACCGTCCTGGCCATTCGTGGGTTATATGACCTTGAGGGAATCCCCTCAACACTCTCAGTCTTTGTTTCTTCCCTCATTGAGGAGATCATCTATTCCTCATTGGACTATTGTAAGGCTTAAGATCTAACACCTTTCAAGGTACTTGGAGCAGTGCCTGGGCTCGGGGGTCTTTAGGCTGTAACCATAGCAAACACTCAGATCCCAGCCACCCTCCCTTCTCTTCCCTCTAGGGTGGAAATGTGGAGGACCAACCTTCTCATTCCCATTTACCCTGGAGTTCTTTCTTCTGAATTTCGTCTAGCACCTGCAGTGCACCAGGGATTCATGGGTGGGGAGGTCAGGGACAGCCAAGTCTGGCATCTGGCCCTCAGCTTGCCTCAGTGCCCGTGGCTGACACCTGGCCCTTTGCTCTGGAATCTGGACCCAAAATCTCCTACCAAAGGCTCAGCCCAAAGAGGGCATGAGGGCACCCCCTATTGCTGAGAAGATTCCATAGCTGTCCAGGCCTCCCCAACTCCTGAGTGGATGATCAGCCCCAGCAATCCAGAGACACATTCTTGTATTCTGCTAGCTTTATTTTTTAGTTGAAAACTCAAAGGAAAAGTTTACGTTCCAAAAGAAAGTAAAATAAAAAACTTTGAATGCTCTAGCCTGGGGGCCCGAGTTCACAAGTGCCCCTACCACAACAGAGGTCTTCCAAAGCATTCAGTCCCAGTGTGTCTACACCAAAGACAGCAGCTCTCTACCTGGGCTTCTGAAGAGCTATCAGTTCACCTCAAAGAAGCTCCTGCCTCAGGAGACCCCTGGATCAGGCAGGGAATGCTAAGACCACACAGCTGAGAACCTGGCTTCATGTCCCCCTGTGCACAGTCAGTGTTCTGAAGCGGTGGCTTCCCACATGGCTGTTGAATAAGTGAATAAATATCTTGGGCATGAACAGGAACTGGGAGAGCTCTCTCTGCAGGGCTGGGACTCTCTGGCCATGCTGTTTCTTGGTTTACAATGGAGATGTGGAGGAAGGTGGAGAATTACCCAGACCAGTGGGAGAGTTTCATGTCCTCAGAAGTATTTTGAGTGCAGAGGCAAACATCTCTTCTCCCCTGCATTTGAAGCACATGCCGTTCTGAGTTTCCTGGCATTCCATGCTGGTTATTCTGTCCCAGCCAAGAATCTTGCCGTTGTCAAGGAGCTGGAATGAGAGTAGAAGGTGAAGGAGTTTGAAGTCTTTGGCAGCCTAGTGCTGGCTTAGATGAAATCTCAAACTGTAAAGAAGAGAGAAAAGAAGTAAGGCTAGGCTATGGGTCCCAGAGGAGAGGAGCCCCTATTACAGCTCCTGGCCCTCCTTATTAAAAGGACAACTTGCCGGGCACGGTGGCTCAAGCCTGTAATCCCAGCACTTTGGGAGGCCGAGGCGGGTGGATCACGAGGTCAAGAGATCGAGACCATCCTGGTCAACATGGTGAAACCCTGTCTCTACTAAAAATACAAAACATTAGCTGGGCATGGTGGCGCGTGCCTGTAATCCCAGCGACTCAGGAGGTTGAGGCAGGAGAATTGCCTGAACCCAGGAGGCAGAGGTTGCGGTGAGCCGAGATAGCGCCATTGCACTCCAGCCTGGGTAACAAGAGTGAAACTCTGTCTCAAAAAAAATAAAAAATAAAAATAAATAAAAGGACAACTTTCCATCCACCCCTACCCGTCTTCCTCTCCTCTTTCTGTAAGAGCAGCAGGGATGGGTCGATGAGTCCCTACACCTGCCAGGCCTTTGCAGGCAGTGGTGTTTGGCCCAGCCTGCTGAGTTCCTAGGAAATTGAACAAGCGTCTGTGAAGTGCTCACTCCATGTCAGGCTCCGCCACCAGCACCCTGGAGATGGAAGACCAAGACATACTTCCTAGCCAAGGGGAGGGTAGAACCTTAGCACATGATGCATTGAGGGCTCAGGATGCATCCAACCCAAAGTGCAGGCTAAAGGGAACTCTCACTGTGTGGGTGGGGTCTTCAGTACAGCTTGCAGTGGAGGCTGCTGTACTGTTTCCCCATCAAGTGTGGTGGGCAAGAGCACAGACTGGACACTCAGAGCTACCAGGGTAAGGAAGCGCTCTTCTATCCCTCATCTGCTAGGAGAACTGTTTAAAAGATGGGCTTTAATTTTTTTGAGATGGTGTCTCACCCTGTCACCCAGGCTGGAGCGCAGTGGCTCACTGCATCCTCTGCCTCCCAGGATCAAGCAATTCTGCCTCAGCCTCATGAGCAGCTGAGATTACAGATGCCTGCCACCACACCCAGCTAATTTTTGTATTTTTAATAGCAATGGGGTATGGCCAGGTTGGTCTCCAACTCTTTACCTCAAGTGTTCCACCTGCCTCAGCCTCCCAATGTGCTGGGATTACAGGCGTGAGCCACCGCGCCCTGCTATTTAATTTTTTTCCAGATGGAATCTCACTCTGTTGCCCAGGCTGGAGTGCAGTGGTGCAATATTGGCTCACTGCAACCTCTGCCTGCTGGGTTCAAGTGTTTCCCCTGCCTCAGCCTCCTGAGTAGCTGGGACTACAGGCATGAGCCACCACGCCTGGCTAGGAAGTGCCCTTCTATCCCTCATCTGCTAAGAGAACTGTCTGAAAGATGGTCTTTAGGTGGCCTTTTCTGTCGTCTTTTTCTACTATATTCTGGTACTTTTTCAGTATGTAATTTTCAGTAATTAGTAAATTAGCTGATTGGCTAAATTTATTACTAAACTACAAATTTAGTGATTAGTAATTTTAATAATTTCTAGTTTGAAATCTATAATCTCTAAGAAGCCTAGCATCTGAGCCCTGTGGGTCTGTGTCTATTATTGTCTGTCTATGATAGTTTTACACTTAGAATTTTACCTCCCTAAGAGTGTTCTTTATAACTACGGTGTTCATAATCTTATCATCATGCCCAGCACGGAGGTGCTCAATAAATACACATTTCTAATGTAAAAAATTTTAAATATGGTAAAAAACAAATAATTTACCATAACCATTTTAAAGTACACACTTCAGTGTAAGTACATTCATATTTTTGTACAGCCAAACTCTGGAACTCACTAAATCCTGCCAAACTGAATCTCTGTCTCCATTAAATAAGCCATTACTGGCTCTTCCAGCTCCTGGCCACCACCACTCTTCTTTCTATCTCTGTGAATCTGATTACTCTAGGTCCTTCACATAAGTGGAATCGTACAGTATTTTTCTTTTTGTGACTGGTATATTTCACTTTGTGTAATGTCCTCAAGCTTCATCCAGATGCTAGCATGTGTCAGAATTTCCTTTTTAAGGCTGAATAATGTTTGACTATATGGAGAGACCACATTTGTTTGTTTGTCTGTCGGTGGGCACTTGCATTGCTGCTATCCTTCGGCTGCTATGAATAACGCTGTGCCAAGACCAGCTCAGCCATGGAGACTGCAACCCAGGCAGCGCTAAAGGAATTAAGAAACAGATACAGAGATAGAGAGGAAAAAGTGTGTTCAGAGTGGAGCACCAGGGGTCTCACAGGATTTCCAACTGGGAATCCAGAGCAGACTCTGACCTATGTATTTATTTTTGACTTTTCAGTGACAAATTTTACAAGCGGTTGCTCTATGTTCTTTCATTGCTTAAAGGTAAACTAACCAGGCAGCTAGTGTATGTTTACAATAGGTTCAGTGCAAACTAGAAAGCGCTCTTTACGGGGGAACAAAGGAAATGGTCACATATTTTATGTTCAGAAAACTAATTCATCTGGCGTGAGACATATTTATATTGGTTATGGTTTTATAATGCTTTGTGCAGTTTTCTGCTTTGGGGGCAGTTCCAGCCACTCAGCATCCTCGCTAACACTTGTTATTTTCTGTGTTGATTACAGCCATCCTAGTGAGTCTGAGGTAGCCTCTCAGTGTAAGTTTTCTTCTTCTTCTTTTTTTTTTTTTGAGATGGAATCTTTCTCTGACACCCAGGATAGAGTGCAGTGGTGCAATCTTGGCTGACTGCAACTTCTGCCTCCCTGGTTCAAGCAATCCTCTTGCCTCAGCCTCCCAAGCATCTGGGACTTCAGGCACGTGCCACCACACCCAGCTAATTTTTCTATATTTATTAGAGATATGGTGTCACCATGTTTGCCAGGCTGGTCTCAAACTCCTGACCTCAAGTGATCCACCCACCTTGGCCTTTCAGAATGCTAGGATTATAGGCATGAGCCGCCATGCCCAGCTTCTCCACGTGGTTTAGTTTTGTTTCCCTAATAATTAGTAATGGTAAGCATCTTTTTATGTGCTCATTGGCCATTTGCATCTCTTATTTGGAGGACTGTCTATTTATGTCCTTTGCACATTTTTGAACTGCATCAGTTGGGTTTTTGTTGTTGCATTGTGAGAGTGCTTTATCTATTTTAGATGGGAACTCTTTCACATGTAATTTGCACATCTGTCCCGTCATTCTGTAGGTTGCTTTTTCACTCTGTTAATAGTATCCTTTGATGCAATCCAATTTGTCTACATTCCCTTTTGTTGTTTGTGCCCTTGGTGTCATATCCAAGAAATCATTGCCAAAGGAAGCTCTCCTTCTGTGTTTTAAGAGTTGGCAGCTGGGAACAGTGGCTCACACCTATAATCCCAGCACGTTGGGAGGCCGAAGCAAGTGATTCCTGAGGTCAGGAATTCAAGACCAGCCTGACCAACATGCCCCATCTCTACTAAAAATACAAAAATTAGTCAGGTGTGGTGGCATGTGCCTGTAGTCCCAGCTACTCGAGAGGCTGAAGCAAGAAAATCGCTTGAACCCGGGAGCCAGAGGTTGCAGTGAGCCGAGATCACACCACTGCACTCCAGCCTGGGTGACAGAGTGAGACTCCATCTCAAAAAAACAAGAGTTGTATAGTTTTAGACCTTACACTTGGGTCTTTAATTCATTATTGAGGTTTTCTTTTCTTTCTTTCTTTTTTTTTTTTTTAACATCATATAAGGTAAGGGTTTAACTTCATTCATTTGCCTGTGGATATCTAGTTTTTCCACACCATTTGTTGAAAGACTGTCCCTTCCCTGATTGAAAAGTCTTGGCATGCTTATTGAACTCATTTGACCGTATGTGTAAGGGTTTCCTTCTGCACTCTGTAGTCCATTCCACTGGTCTCTGTAGGTCTTTACTGCCATACCACACTTTTGACCACTGTAGCATTTAATAATACATTTTGAAATTTGGAAGTAAAAGCCTTCCAACTTTGTTATTCTTTTTCAAGGTTGCTTTGGCCATTTGGGATCCCTTGAAATTGCATATAAACTTTACACAATTTATAAGGATGGATTTTTCTATAATTGAAGAAAAAATGTCACTGAGATTTTGAGAGCAATTACACTAAACCTGTAGATCACTTTGAGTCATATTGACATCTTAATGAAACTAAGCCTTATAATCTATAAATATGAGATGACTTTACATTTGTTACACAACCAGTCTCTGGAACTTTAAATTCTGCCAAAGTCTTTGCCTCCTGGTTAAGTTTATTCCTATTTTATTCTTTTTGATGCTATTGTAAACTGAATTATTTTTTAAGATGGTGTCTCACTGTGTTGCGCAGGCTGGAGTACAGTGGCTATTCACAGGCATAATTGTTATAAAAACTGACAGCATTGACCTCCCAGGCTCAAGTGATTCTTCTGCCTCAGCTTCCCAAGTAGCTGGGACTATAGGCATCCACAACCAACCCTGCAGGAACTGTTTTCTTAATTTCCTTCTTGGATTGTTCACTGTTAGTGTGTAGAAATGCAGCTGACTTCTGTATGCTGATTTCATAATCCTGAAACTTGGACAAATTATTAGTTCTAACAGTTTATTTTAGGCAGTCTTCAGGATTTTCTACAAAGAAGATCATGTCATTTGATAACAGAGAAAATTTTACTTCTTCCTTTCCAATTTGGATGCCTTTTCTTTTTCCTTCCTTTCTTAATAGCTCTGGCTAGGATTTCCAGTATTATGAAAGCAGGCATCACTGTTTTATTCCTCATCTTGGAAAACTTTGTCTCTCATCATTGAGAATGATATTAGCTGGAGGTTGTTCATATGACCTTTATTATGTTGAGGTTGTTTCGATTTCTAGTCAGTATGTTTTTACTCATGAAAGGATATTAAACTTCATTAAATGCTTTTTCTGTACTAATTGAAACAAATTGTCATGTGTTTTCTTTCCTTCATTCTGTTAACAGGGTATCTTACATTAATGTTTTTATGGTAACCACGTTTGCATTCCAGGAAGAACTCTCACTTGATCATGTTGTATAATTGATCTATGACACTGTTGAATTCTCCTTATTAGTATTTTCTTGAGCACTTTTGCATCTGTATTGATCAGGGATAGTGGTGTGTTTTGTGCTGCTTTGTCCGCCTTTGGTATCAGTAATGCTGGCCTCACAGAATGAGTTTGGAGGTATTCTTTCCTCAGGAATTTGGAAGATGAGCAGGATTGGTATTGGCTCTGTAAATGTTTGGTACAAGTCACCCATGAAGCCATCTGTTCTTGTACTTTTTATTTCTTGTTAAGTTTTTGGTCACTGATTCAATCTCCTTGGTAGTTATAGGTTAGTTTTTCCATCTTCTATTTCATTTATTCCTGTTCTAACCTTTATTATTTCCTTCCTTCTCCTAGCTTTGGGTTTAGGCTGTTCTCCTTTTGCTAATAATTTAAGGTACAAAGTTAGGATTTGGTTTGAGAGCTTTTCCTTTTTCTTTTATTTGACAGAGGGTCTTGCCACTTGCTGAGTTAGTCTCAAACTCCTGGGCTCAAGCAATCTCCTGGCCTCAGCCTTCCAGGTAGCTGGGATTATAAAGCAGTGTCACTATACCTGCCTGCTGCTTCTTTTTCTGTGTGTGTTTTGGGGGGTGGGAGGCATTAGGGGAAATGGAGCCTAGCAGTGTCACCTAGGCTGGAGTACAGTGGTGCAATCTCTGCCCACTGCAACCTCCTCCTCATAGGTTCAAGTGATTCTGCTGTCTCAGCCTCCCAAGTAGCTGGGATTACAGGTGCTTGCCACCATGCCTGGCTAATTTTTATGTTTTTAGTAGAGATGGAGTTTCGCCATGTTAGCTGGGCTGGTCTTGAAATCCTGACATGAAGTTATCTGCCTACCCCAGCCTTCCAAAGTGCTGGGATTACAGGTGTGAGCCACTGCCCCTGGCCAGCTTTCTTTAATGTAAGCATGTACAGCTATAAATTTCCCTCACAGCGCTGCTTTTGTTGCATCCCATAAGATTTGATACATTTTGCCTCAAAATACTAATTTTCCTTATTATTTTTCTTTGATCCATAGTTTTGTAATATGTTGTTTAGTTCCCATAGATTTGTGAATATTCCAGTTTTCTTTCTGCTATTATGATTTCAGTCCTTTAAAATGTATTAAATCTTGCCTTGAGGCCTAATATATGATCTTTTCCAGAGAAAATTCCACATGTACTTTGAAGAATGTGTATTCTGCTGCTGAGGGAACTCATCTGTGTATGTCTGTGTATCAATTCATCTATAGTATCGTTCAAGCCCTTTATTTTCTTCTTGACCTTCTGTCTGGGTGTTGTATACATTATTGAAAGTGAGTTATTGGGTCAGGCACAGTGGCTTATGCCTGTAATCTCAGCACTTTGGAAGGCCAAGGCAGGTGGACCACTTGAGGTCAGGAGTTCGAGACCAGCCTGGCCAACATGGTGAAA